AAATAGTATGACTAATATATATATATATTTTTTTATTTTTACAATAAATTCAACCTTGGTGAGCAGAAGAAACTGCTTTCAAAAGCATAAAAACGTACATAAATAATAAAATAAAATCGAAATTATTTCAAACACTTACAATATATATTAATAATAAAATTAAAAACAGTTATTTGAAAATAATAAAAGTGCAAAAAAATGTGTTGCTTTAAATTATTCCTTAATCTTGGACTAGGTGGTGCCATTGCTGTTAAGTCTGCTCCCAGGATGCTCCTTGACTGATATCATGTCCTGTGCCACTGCACAATCTGTCAAAACCCTGCTCATGGAAAAGATTGAAACGTTCAACCTTGCAGTCTCCCGGATGTCAAGGTTTGTAAGACTGCTCAAACATATACTAATTATGCTAATTGTTTTGTTAGTTTGATTATAGAACCGCTCTCTCTCCCAAAAGAGTTTATGCTAGAGTATGTGCATGCAGGTTTAATGCTAAGAATCCAGTTTTAATTTTAACTGCATAACTGCTTGTTTTAGAGCTGGCAGAATGGCCCTCGCCAAGGACGACAGTCAATCACAATCATCCTCACAGAAGTTACAGGGGCAGAAGACAGAACCTTGTGATACTATAGTAGACATTCACAGCAAGCTAGTCAAGAAAAAGCAACAGGTACACATTTACCAAATCTACTGCTGCAAACAGGATTACATACTGGCTTCTGTCCAATAATATGTATATATAGGCGACGCAGTGGCTCAGTAGGTAGTGCTGTCGCCTCACAGCAAGTAGGTCGCTGGTTTGAGCCTCGGCTGGGTCAGTTGGTGTTTCTGTGTGGAGTTTGCATGTTCTCCCTGCGTTCATGTGGGTTTCCTCCGGGTGCTCAGGTTTCCCCCACAGTCCAAAGACATGCGCTATGGGTGTATTGTGTAGGCTAAATTGTCCATAGTGCAATGGGTTTCAGATGGAAGGGCATCCGCTGCGTAAAACTAAAACTAAAACTATTCTGAATAAGTTGGCGGTTCATTCCGCTGTGGCGACCCCAGATTAAGAAAGGGACTAAGCCAAAAATGAGTATATATATATATATATATATATATATATATATATATATATATATATATATATATATATATATATATAT